CCTCTCATTCTTTCTTCCTAGACTATATCATATACTGTCTGTACAGTGACAACTTCCCAACTCTACCTCTAGTCCACTCTTCCTGTCAGTGCCTAAGTGAATATCTCACAAATGCTTCAAACTCATTATGTCCAAAACTGTCCTTTCTCCTCCCCCAATTCCCTTCTTCTGCAGTGTTGCCCATTTCAGTGAATGGTGACACGATCCACAAAGATGCTGAAATCAAGACATCTGAAAGACGGTGGCATTTTTTACTTTAATTTCAACAGCTCATCAATTATCAAGACCTGTCAATTCTACTTCCTTTCTCTCTCATAAATTCATCTATTTCTCTCCATTTCCACTGCCCCAGTCCAAAATCTCTCTTCCAACCTGGCCCCTTCACATAGAGCACTGAACCCTTCCCAGGGAGTTCATTTTTCTAGTACTTTTAGGTATAAATTTAACCATATTTTCCCTAATATTTAAAAACAAAACTAAAACTAAAGTCTGAACTCTTTCTTGTGACCTGAAGGCCTTAAGTAATCTAGCTCCTGCCTACCTCTAGCCATAATTCACAACTTTCTCACTCCTAAATGTTCTCTGTCCAAGCTACACCTCTGCCTTTTCTGGATCCTTCAAGTGGCTCACTTTCTCAGACTTGCACACACAGTTTTCTCTACTTATAATGCATGTCCTCCTCCTCACTGACTAGTGCACTGGCTCCCAAGTGCTAGCCTCACTACATCAGTCATCCAGGAGCCTTTCTTTTTGCACTGAGTCCTGGTCCCCACCTAAGAAATACTGGGTCAAATTTCTTGGGAGTGCAACCCGGACATACATCTCCTTAAAAGCACCCCCAGATAATTCTGATGTGAAGCCAGGGTTGGGAATAACTGCTAGTCAACTTTCAAGTCTCAGCTTCAAGCTCACTTCCTCAGAAAGCCAATACACTAAATTTGGTCCCACTATTAAATTAACATTTTCATAGCTACCTCTTGCACATATTTAATATCTGACTTTTTCCAAATAATTCAAGTTTTAAAATTTAATGATTTGCTTAGAATGTTTGGTCATGCAAGGATTTTTAATAAGACAGTTTTATATAAACTAAAAAACAGACTCTAGCAGTTACAGAATTTGCTCATATGAGCAAGGAATACTTTCTGAAAACCTGTATTAAATGAATTAGTCTTAAAGATAAGTAAGTTCAATGTTTGAGGTACAGAATATTTCAACATAAGAGCTTCACTGGTGATATATTGAGGGAGTCTCAAGTGCCCTAAGCAAGACTGCCCTGAAGTAGGTCATTCACTTATAAAACCAAGGATCCTAGGTATCATGAGCTTGACTCACCTTCTGTAGCTTTTTAAAGGAAGATGCCTTCATGTTTTCTGACAATTTAACTGAAAAATACTATTAATTTTATTAAGGAAAAGCAATTAAGATTTTAAAAAGGTAACCTTCTGAATTCAAGTGTAATTTTAAAAACAAGGGTTAGAATACATGGAAATGTTTAGGCAAAGTAAAAGAGGGGTTTCCAAGAGGAAATTAATATTTTCCTTTAAAACCTCGAATTCCACCAGACCATTCCAGTGGCACGATCACAGCCAAAGCAAAATACCTCAATCCTGCAGCACTTATCCAAATGGCAATCATTTCTAAAACCTTCCCAAAAGGACCTACCTTTACAACACAGGGGTGGGCAAAGTAGATTTACAGTTGTGAGTATGCAAACCAGAGTTTATTCTTGTATTATTATTTATTAGTTATTGTACTTTCCATACGAGCTGCAAACTGTTCTTTTGTCCATCCCTGTATATATGGAAATACATTCTCCCTCTCTTGATTCTCTGTTATGGTCTGAAGCAACAAGTTTAATTTAATTAATACTTAGCTCCATAAAAAGCAAACAGTAACCTTTCAATGAGATCACTACATCTTCCAATTAAAAAGGATACAAAATCTCTAAGTTGTCCAAATATTTCATCCACTTTTCCAATCTGTTCTTTGTTTTCTAAATAAACTGGAGCATTAAAATAAGGCACCTTATTTTCATCTGTGGTACATTTACAAACTATGTCATCTTCACAGGGATGCAGGAACTCTCCTAATACTGAAACAGGACAAGAAAACATTAAAATATAAAACAATTTCAAATTATACTGACCAACCTCTTCTGGAAGCGTTCTTCTTGTTTACCTGGGATTTTGCCATATCTGTTCTTCTGGGACACAAAAGCCTCCCTGAGTTGGTATATCAATCCACAACATACTACCTATGTGACCTGGGGGAAGGGTCTCACCTTCTCTCTGCCTCAGTGTCCTCACCTTTAACATATGGCTAACAACAGTTCCAACGCCGAACATACAGCATTGTGAGTAGTAAATGCAATATTAAATGTCAACTGCTCAGAAAAGTGCCTGGCACACTGAGACTCCTCAGCCTAGAACAGTGGTTTTATTACAAAACTATTATTATTTGATTAAACACTATGTTGCATTTTACTGTCTATTCTTCCTTTTCCCCAACCCTTAACTGCAAAACCAGTCTTGGTTGTTCTCCTGTCTTTTCTTCCTCCCCTTTTATACCTTCCCACTACCACCTCTTCACCAGTTACTTCGATCTTTTCCAGAAAAGTGTGGAACCTCAAAATAACTACCTTTATTTCTAATTGACTATTGTCACCCCACACTAAAATACTCATTGCACCGCAGCAAAACCAACTCTCCATCCCGATCACCCAGGCTCAAAAACTGGAAGCTTTTAACAATTCCCAAGATTAGCTAAGTTCTACTGAGTTTGTTTCCACCGGAATCTCTCTCCCAATCTAACCCTTCCTTTTTCTTCTCACTCCCACCATGCTCTCAATGCTTCCTTCGTGCATGGACTGTTGAAATGGCTTCTGGGCTGGGACCTTGGACTCTTTCCCATTACCCTCTTCAAACCATCTTGCATACTGACCCAACCTATTCTTTATATTAGACTGTACACATCCTTCCTCCTCTTTGACAGGATTCTACCCAGACATACATCTCCCTAAAAGCACCCCCAGATAATTCTGATGTAAAGCCAGGGTTGGGAATAACTGCTAGTCAACTTTGTCTCACTTTCTATGACTTCCATCCTACCTCATTAATAATTACTCCAAAACTGCGCTAATTAGGTCTTTTCCTTGACTTCCTCCCTGTCATTTCCCTTCCAAGCAAAATTCCGACTTCTCTTACTGAAGTGTAAGATAAAGTCTGGGCTTTGGAGTCTCAAAACTTGCCTTGGACCTCCACTATATCATTTACTGATGATCACTTCTTCCTAACTATGACCCTTAGCTGAATCAGTCTCCTTCTCTGTAAAACGGGGACCACAGCGGTAAGCATTAAAATGTTACCTATTTAATATCTTCCTTCCAGCCCAAGCTCAAGTTCCACCTCCACGGTGCAGTCTAAGTGTCCTCGGCTTTCTTACTCTCCCCCTTACACACCAGGGCATCACTGTAAGTCCCTTTACAGCATCTCCGGGGGTCTGCCTCACCAACCAGGCAGTAACCTCTGCATGTGTTGCTGATCTATTTTACAGCACCCGACTCCCAAACTTCCTAAAAACACAAACCCAGCCCTAGCCGGTTTGGCTCAGTGGATAGAGCGTCGGCCTGCGGACTGAAGGGTCCCAGGTTCGATTCCGATCAAGGGCATGTACCTTGGTTGCGGGCACATCCCCAGTAGAGGGTGTGCAGGAGGCAGCTGATCGATGTTTCTCATCGATGTTTCTAACTCTCTATCCCTCTCCCTTCCTCTCTGTAAAAAATCAATAAAACATATTATTTAAAAAAATAAAAACACAAGCCCACAACCTCAACCTCACCCCTGCTCCGCCCCCGCCTCCAAGCAGGCTGAGCTTGGAAACCGACATACCAACGACTTGTTCTGGGGGTCCTTGGTCCTGGCCTTTGTTAAAGCCGCCGCGGCCACCCCCTCGTCCGAATCCGCCTCGGCCGCCGCCTCGGAAATTGCTGCCGCCGCCGCCGCGGAAATTGCCGCCCCCTCCGCCTCGGAAGTGGTTGTTGCTGCCGCCGCCACGACCGAAGCCGCCGCCTCCACCGCCTCGGTTAAAGCCTCCACGACCTCCGCCGCGGAAAGACATGCTCGCTCCCACCTGGCGAGAAACACAAGCCGTGCCGCCCTTCGGTCACTGTGGCCGCCGGGCACAGCCCCCAACCTTCCCGCACCTCAGGCAGAACACCGTCAAGGGGGCGGTATCACCGACAGCCACTCCGCTCCCCACCCCACTGCCCAGCCGCCAGCGACGAACCCGAAGGGTGAGCAGTGTGGCTTCCCCACAGTCCTGTGAGCGCCGACCGACCCTCAGCAGCCATGTCGCCTCGGTGAGCACCTCCTCCCCCTGCGGGCA